AAAAAGCATTCGATAAAAAATGTTTAAGTCAAATGTTTTTGAATGTCGTTGAAAGTTTGTAACTTTAAAAAAAATGCGATTTATTTAATGAGTAAACCGTATTGTTATAAAAGCTTTTCTACCGTGTCATACTATAATGCCTATCCAAACGTCAAAGTCTATCATCTGTCAGCTGTCAACGACAGCACCATCGTGACAAGTTTGTCAACCACGCCAACATCCACTCCCGACAGTTGGATCAACATTTAATTGGAAACGCCGTAGACCGCGTCTACTAACAGCCTTAGATTTTGAAGATCCTAAAGTTTTATTTTAAAACAATTTCACTGCAACTCTAGTAATGCCGACTTTAAAAAAAACGATTAATTAAAGACGTATTCTTAGTAGGTACATGACCCGAAACCCCGTTTATTTTATAATCAATACATTCCTGACGAGAATAAAATAATTGAACATTCCAATGGATACCTCGATCCCTCAGGATTCCGTCTCGCTAATCATCAGGAAACATGCCTCTGTCTAATGACGGGGTCGCTCAATCGTCAATTTGCTGGACCATTGGAATGGAATGAGATAATAATAAAAAACATTCAAGAATAAGATTACTGTTCTTTGTGTAGCTAACTGTGTTTTGACTTAACCAGTAGCAGTTTTTAAGTTCTGAATTCTCAACATGCTATGGCTAGCAATAAATAAATTTTAATAAATTTGAAGAAAAAATTGTGTAAGAAAAAATGATTTTATTGTTAAAAAGTGTGGGGTGCTTTTCAGGATATTATCAAAATAACCCTTCTACTCATATCTGTCCATAAAATATTTACTGATACCATGCACACCATGCTTTTTTTACAATAAAATAATTTTTTCTTACACTATTTTTAATTCAAACTTACTAAAATTTATTTTCTATTTTTTAGTTGAATTTTCTATAAAAGCGTTATTTTGTTAGTTTTTATAAACTACTACATATTTATTTTTCATTTTTTAGTTGAATTTAAATTTTTTCAATTATTATTTTTTTATATTGAATTGTCATCGGTCCTTAATAAGTATACCAAATTTCGAGTTAATCCGACGTTTTGAAGGGGGTCAAAATCATGTTCAAAGATTCCGTTACAAACATACATACAGCGTCTGAAGCTAATAAAAGCGTATTAAAAAAAAATCCGGTCCGATAGAATTCCGAGCGACGGGTAGATATCAAGACATTTTTGCTAAGCCAAATGGGCAGTTGAGAGAGTCCGTCTGATATCTTACTGGTGGTAGGACCTAGGAGGGTGGTAGGTGGTAGGTGAAGCAGTAATGCATTTCGGTTTGAAGGGCGGGGCAGCCGTTGTAACTATGCTTGAGACCTTAGAACTTATATCTCAAGGTGGGTGGCGCATTTACGTTGTAGATGTCTATGGGCTCCAGTAACCACTTAACACCAGGTGGGCTGTGAGCTCGTCCACCCATCTATGCAATAAAAAAATTAAAAATATATATTCAAAGATAAGAGAAGTCTATAGATGTATTTGTTTTTGGCAAAAGGAAATACGTCACTTCCTCTCACGCATTGAGGATACCTCGCTTTTAAAGTTGAACCAAACAGAAACTTCAGCTACTGAACACTCCTCCGCCCTAGCCAGACCCAAAACTTGGAGAAAAGATTTGGAGGCTAAGCGTCTTCGCCGATAACATCACGCCACCGTCAAGTCTAATTTGCGCTATATCAACAGTTTTCCTTCCCCTCATAACAGAACATTTAGTTACATCACGGCAGCAACAAGCAGTACCGACTGTCTAAATGCTCACGAGCGACTTCGAGGATATCGGCGCATACCATCCTCGTACTTATTACTGTAAAGCAGTAATGTCTATCTGAATAAAAATACAGTTGTTATTTTAATACTATTGTGATACCAACCCTAATATAAAGGTTGAAAGCGGAATTCATTTTGCTATACCTAAACGCTCCGGCGTCCTTTATTAAAGCAGATAGGCTGAAAACTCGAAACAATAATATAAAAGATCATCACAAATAATCAGAATATTCGTAAAAGATGTATTTATGTATTTCCCACTCGTGAACTCTGTTTGTTCGCTCTTGCTTCATATTTCTTCCCCCTGCTTAGAACATAGCAGAAAATTATGATCTTTTAATTATTTGAGAAACAAATAGTACGCACGTGTCATAAATCCCAGACCCACTGAGTTTCTCGCCGGATCTTCTCCGTGCAAGGGGGGATCCAGCTTTGGCGCCAGGAGGGGGTCACATAGTCAAATTTAGATGCGTTCGTTCCCAAACGTTTGCCATTATACAAAGTGTATAATGGCAAACGTAAGTAAGTACCCAATAACAGCTCACTTATCAGAAAATATGCCTACATCTAATAATAATAATAATTATAATCATAATACAATCAATCATAATACAAATGGAAATAATAAATATAATGAAACCTACAATAATAGTAATGACATACGGGAGTTAATGGATATGATGAAACAGATAATGACACAACTAACAACAATGACTAATCTAATTANGGCATCCAATTGTGGGGTACTGCGTCAAACTCAAATATTGAAATACTTCAAAGATTTCAATCAAAAACGCTCAGGATGATAGTGAACGCACCATGGTATGTTACAAATGAAAGAATCCATTATGATCTTGCCATAAGAAAAGTCAAACATGAAGTAATCCATCGAGCTAAAGCATATTGTGTAAGATTGGAAGCCCATCCGAATAACCTGGCTATGCATTTAATGGACAACCTAATGACTACTAGAAGACTCAGAAGAAGAGTGCCTCAAGATCTACTAGATCTACTGTAGATTAATTGATATGGACATGTCAATGGACATTGTGCATGCACCGCCGAAATTCTTTTTATCAAAACTACGGTTGAATGTCTTACGACAGCTTACTGTATAGAATAAACAAAAAAAAAAAAAATTATACAAAGATATTATATTAAATTAATTAAATATTGAAGGTATGTAGTTACATAAAATCTGTATGGTGACAAAATATATAAATAAAATTAAGTCTAAAGTCTAAAACTAAGTCCTGGAACCAGTTCAGGGGGTGGTCATGACCATGATCCGCCATTGTCTCTGTGGGTCGCGATTGCGATCCGGTGGTAGATTCAGCGAAGCAGTGCTCTTGCTAGGGCCAATGTTAGTAATTGTCTCAAGTTGAGCCCGTGAGCTCACCTACCGCGTGAAGTTGAAATAGGCTACCAATGGTTTGGTAGTGAAAAAAATGTAGCTTAAGTCAAACGTAAAAAACAAAGCAGCTTCTTAAAAAAAATAAGTTTTGAGGAGATGTGAGTTTATTCATAGTACTTACAATGGACCGTTGTCCACCTGTGTTATTAGCGGAAAATAGTGATCGAGACAACTATGAACCTAGAAGTCCCCGAGGTCCTTCAGACGTAACTTTAGGTCTAGTATCCTTGAACCAACTTGATTAATTAAACATAAGTCTGCCTAGTTCGAAATAGCGATTGATTTAGTAATTCATAAATTCCCATAAGACTACTGTATTTTCCGAGGTTCGATATCTTATTTTAATACCAGGTCTTCTGGGCCGGGTAATCGACGATGAGAGCTCTAAGTAACTGGTTGGGTTTATCCCGCCGTCTGCTTTTTAGCGCCGCACCACCTGCTGTCCGGATAAAGCTCACAACCAGGAAAAAAAGCGGCTATCCACAATGCATTCCCAGAGATGTTTATTGATACTCCTAAATACAAGTCTTTTGAATTCCCTTCAAGCGAATAATAAAATAACTTCTTCTAGGCAGGCCACAGCTTGATTGTTCCCAGACAAATAATCTCTAGTGTAACATCGTAATTTGGTAGTTAATATTGAAATACGTAAGTCAAGTCGAAACTTCCGAAAAATTCAATTACTGCATTGTCACAAAGTGTAGTAAGGAGGGCCGAATCTATATAAATCACTAAGGTAAGGCAGTAAATTGTAGACAAAGTACCCGTATTACAGTTTAAATACGCTAGCGGGAAATCTTTTTCTTTTAACGTTATCCCTGTGGCGAATATCACATGCAAAATTGTAGGATTCCTTTTGTAAATGAACATTAGTTACCTACGTTCCGTCGATTTATTTGCCAATGCTTGAGATAACAATGAAGAATAGATTTTTAAATTGAGATATAGGCAAACGAACCTAATTATAAAAACTTATTACTGGTGGTAGGACCTCTTGTGAGTCCGCGCGGGTAGGTACCACCACCCCGCCTATTTCTGCCGTGAATCAGTAATGCGTTTCGGCTTGAAGGGTGGGGCAGCTGTTGTAATTATACTTGAGACCTTAGAATTTATATCTCAAGGTGGGTGGCGCATTTATGTCGTAGATGTTTATGGGCTCTAGTAACACCAAGTAGGCTGTGAGCTCGTCCACCCATCTAAGCAAAACTTGCTAACTAAACTAACTTGCCTGTCTCGATTGAACTGAAATATAAACTTATTTTATTTTATTTATACTTCTATTATAAGTGCCATATTTTTCTTTAATAACATGTAATTTTTTAAAATATCGTAACTTCAAATTAGATATTTATATTATTACATAAATACAACTAAATCAATTAATTAATTGAGTACGATAACTGAAGCAGATATTTCATAAATTAAGAACTCAACAATCGTTAAAATATTTGTGGGAAAATGTTGACAAAGACGACGACGAATGTAAAAATAGTAAAAAAACAATAAATTAATTTTAAACATGAAAACGAAAAATTTCTTTTTTGCAACCCTCTCCTCATTAGTCGAAGCGTCAGTAGAGCAACGCCTAAATATCTAGATTATCTTGATCTTTCATTTCAGTTTTTTTTTAAATGGAATGGAGACCATTTGGCTGTATGGGCTTTATCTTCTTTATCTATCCAAGTGGTGAAGAAATGGGTTTGACATTTGACATTGATCGCTTTACCAATTTTTAACGTTCGCCCGGTAATCTTAAAATTTAAATCCATAAATTTATAAGCAAAATGTCAATTTTTCACAGCTTCCCAAACCTACCTGGTCCAGAAGAAACTGCTTTTTGTAAATTAAATGAAGTATATTGTTGCGGCAATGCCCGATATGGTAATATTTCAACATTTTCAAATGCGGTAAGGTTATGTTAATATTTAATACCATTTAACCAAAAAAATAAGCTGAATTAAACACATTTTTTAATTTCAGACGAAAAAACATCCGATAATCAACGTGACTAGAGACTTACATCATCACAGAACATCAGACGAGAATATTTCCATGTACATAGATGTAGAAGATAATTTGCTCAAAAAAATTACTAGTGTTTGGTACAAACAAGGATTTTTAGAAGCTCTAAGTGTAGCCGCCGACCCTTCTGTTAATAGAGAAAGTCCAACATTGGCAGTCACAGCATCTTACATCTTAAAAGTAGCAAATATTTTAACCGCCTTCAGATATTTCTTACAGCCCCATTTAAAAGATATAGGTCCTAAAATTGTCGCAAATTATTCAAGAACTAGGAACTGGGGTCAAGTGCCAGTCAAATGCTTAGCATGGCATCCTCACACAACAAAAATTGCTGTAGCGACTGTCGATGATAATGTGAGAGTGTATTGTTCAGAAGTAACATTTGTTTCTACATTGAAGTGTAAAGCACAAGGTCATGTGTCATCACTGAACTGGAGACCTCTATCTGCTTCTGAGCTGGCTGTAGGTTGTGAGCAAGGAGTCATTGTATGGACCGTCGACCCAAATTTGATGTTCACAAAACCTTCATCAAGTAATGCTGTTCTATTGAAAAAGTAAGTAAACTATATTAAATTAATTCATATTTGTTTATGAAGAATTAAAATTCTTTATAGAAATAAAAAGCATTATTGTTGGTGGCATGGCTTACTGGAGGCTAGGTTGGCTAGATACCACCAGGACCACATTACCCCGTGTGTGCGAAGTATGCGGTGAACACACACTCCTAGACAATCAGGGCGCCGTAACCAAAATTATTTATTTGACATTTACACAATAACATATTCTTTGTAGTGGACATTCTTTCTTTGTAGTTCTTTGTAGTTCACATTTGTATGGAAAAAATAAGTAATATTGTTTTTTTTTTAAACTAGTAGCAAAGCAATTTGGGAAATAAGGTTTGACTCTGAAATGAAACATTCAAATTGACAATCATCTTTTTGTCTAAATAGTTAGTAATAGTCACTACCGTACTATATGTTCTGTTTTTTTTATATATTTTTTTCCTACCTATTCTAGTAACGTCAAGAGGCTATACTAGATTCATAGAACTATAGGGTCTGAATTGAGAACCTGGTCATACTTTACAGCTTTTGAAAATTATTCGGCTTTTGGAGCTGACGATCTTGTCTCGTATAATATATGTTTTTGGATACCCACAAGAACAAAATCATAGTTTTTGTCAGTTAAACATAGAACATCAGTTAATTAGCTATTCATGAATTTACAGAAATGGGCACAGTCCAGTAACAGACGTGAGCTGGTCTCCAAACGGTGACCTCTTGATAAGTTGTAGTGGTGCTGACACTTCCATGCTAGTTTGGGATACAGCAATGGAAACAGCCATACCACTGCGGAGAGTTGCTGGTGGAGGCAACGTGTTTGCCAGATGGTCTTTTGATGCTAGCAAAATCTTCACTGCAACATCTTCAATTATATTTCGGTAAGAACTTGTATTGTGTAAATCATAAGTTATCAGATTTCATTTAAAATATCATAGTCTCAAATTGTCATATAAAAAACGTTATTGTAATTTTTACTAGATAGTTATTTATCTGCAGATAGACTCAAGGCTTAAACCATATTGTGTTATTATTCAATTTTGCTTATATTAAATTTCAAGATTTTCTAAACTATTGAACTGTTGTTTGTACCTATAATTGAGGTAATATTAATCAGATGCCTTATTCATTTGTAAATGTTTGGAATTAGTTAACACATTGTTGATACAACTAATGAAATAAATAACTGTCTCTTGATCCTGATATTATAACTGCTGTATTTAAATGAATGTTATAAACATACAAAGTGGCAGTGAAATACGTCTTATATCAAATAGTGACACCTGCAAATAGGGGTGGGCAGTTTATTGGGCAACAAATTAATGACATCAAGGGGTGAAAGGCTAGTTTAGTGTCATTTTCACAACTTTACAAGAGAGCTATTTAAAGTTAAAAATATCACAACAGAAAAACTTCTTCAGCTATTTGTATGGAGTAAACCTAATTTGAAGCTCAATTAAAAAAATCGAACTGTTAATGCTAATACCAAATAAAACGCACATTTAATTATAATTGTCGGATGCTACGTGAAATGTCGCTTAAATACAACAAATACCTTCTCACCCTTGAATATACTAATAATGACATAGACATAAAAAAATATAAAAAGCACTACAAAGAGAATTATTTTAATGTTATTGTGCAACAAATAAACTTTCTATACAATTCAGCAGCTTCCTCAATATGTAATAAAAAACTGACAATTTTTTTGTTTGATTTTTAATATTCAAAATCTAAAGTTGTTGATGTAGTCCTAGGTTACCCCGCTGGTACATAGGGCCCTCACAAGTTGTCTCCACTTGGCCCTGTCTTGCGCTTGCTCCTTGACATCACTCCAGGTCACGTTGGCAGTCCTCATCTCAATCTCCACGGTGCGTCGCCAAGTGTGTACAGGGCGACCAGGTCTTCTCCTGCAAAGCGGTTGCCACTCAAACGCGATTGATGCTGCGTTGACTCCGCTGCGCCGTAGAGTGTGCCCTATCCAACGCCATTTCCGATGAGCAATGTCTTGCACGATGGGATTTTGGTCACATTTAATCCAAAGGTCTTTATTAAAGATAGTGACTGGCCAGAATATGCGGAGTATCGACCTCAAGCACTTGTTTACAAATATCTGCAGTCGGTTCGTGAGTGTCTTGGTCACTCTCCAGGTCTCACACCCAAACAGGAGGACACTTTTGACAATGGAGTCAAAGAGGGTCAGCTTGATCCGACGGGTCATGACACTTGACTCCCAGACTGGTTTCAACTGCGCGAAAGCACCCCTGGCTTTCCTAATTCGTATCTCTATATCTTCGTCCGAACCACCCTGATTTGATATGGAACTCCCCTAAAGTACACAACAAATATTTGAAATCGTTTCTATGACAGTCAGGTTTAAGAGTAAAAAGCCAAGGCTGTTCTTGGACGTTGCCCATTATTATGTCTTGATTTACGCTGAGTATTGCAAAATATCATGACACCCCAACTTAGAAAGCTTTATAAATAAATGCATCAATGTGTAATTTGAAGAATTTGGGACACAAAAACCTGGACTCCGGAAAGATGGTGCGCACGTGGACATCGAGTTGTAGCTGCCTGTTGGGGTCCTGACAATATCTTGCTGTTTGCTGCCAAAGGTGAACCAATGGTTTACGCCCTCACAACCACAAGTCTTCTGAGTGGTGAGTTTTATATTCAATTTATATAATCTTAATCAATATAATTCACCTAACCCAAAGTCAACGAAGATGTCACATGTGGAATAATATCAAGTGGCTATAAAACCTTCAGAGTATGTAAACATAGATGATGCCATCCAGTTTGACACAAGATTATATGTCAATACCACTGGTATGCAGCTACTTTACCCTTCTAAACGTAACATACCTTTGTATGCATATGCAGGTAGGGCCTGTTGTGAGTCTGCGCGGGTAGGTACCACCGCCCTGCCTATTTCTACCGTGAAGCAGTTATGCGTTTCGGTTTGAAGGGTGGGGCAGCCGTTGTAACTATACTGAGAACTTAGAACTTATATTTTAAGGTGGGTGGTGCATTTACGTCATAGATGTCTGTGGGCTCCAGTAACCACTTAACACCAGGTGGGCTGTGAGCTCGTCCACCCATATAAGCAATAAAATAAACAAAAGCAGAACAGTACTAATGAGCAGCACAAACTCAACTTACCCCTACCACTAGTAAAATATGGGAAGTGTGGTGGCATCATAGGACGACACTACTAACCAGTATGAGCTCAAGTTACCCCACCACCAGTAAAATATAGGAAGGGGGTAGAAGGGTAGTGGCATCATAGGACGACACTGCACCTACCCTGTAGCTACTGACAGCTAGTAAATGAACTTTCAGGATCCCAAACGACGAAAGCTACACCAGCATTAGACGTGACAAAGGTGGAACTGTCATCAGGAGAGCCAGTCGGTGGACCCATACTGGATATGTGTTGGGATCCGACCGGCCGTTACATGGCAATGCTGTTTGAAGAATCACATCTCGTTGCTGTCTTCTGTACCACATATATCATGATGCAACTGAAAATTGATCCATGGTATGTTTTGCTTCATTAACTGTTAATGGAATAAATCTGCTTCTTATAAAAAAATAGTCTCATGAGGACTTTGTATTGTATCAGAGTTTCCAGTACCCATAATAGAAAAAATTGATTTGGTTCTGTTAAATCAATGAATGCAGTGCTTATATTAAGAAATGTCTAGATACCTTAATAGATATTGTGCCTTCTCTAATTGGACTGGTAAATTTCATAGTACAATTACTGATTGAGGTATGATTAAAGTAAAATGAAAAAAGTTTAGCCATGTCCCACTGTAACATCTCTAAAATTTTTATGCATCCATTACTTACACAATTTTTAACATAAAAAAATTGTTTTGTTCACTTAAGAAACATAAATGATAGGTTTTAGGAAGAAATCACTATGAAATTGTTATCAAAGCACAAGTAAGTAATATTTCAAAACATATCATAAAAAACTGAAATTGAAATTCAAAATAATTTTAATACAGATTTTCTATATTAATTTAGTGCGATCGCCCCCCTTAATTATCAAATTGCCCTCTTGGGGAGCGTGGGCTCCACATTGGGAAACACCGATCTAAAGACTAGTTAATAATAAGACTTCTATTATTTAACTTTATGATTCCAGCTGTTTCGTGACTGGCGTAGAAGACGAAATACCCTGTACAATGGCCTTCCAGCAAAACTTCAACGACGGAGCGTGTCTCACGATCGCCTGGTCCTCGGGCAGAGTGCAACATTTTCCCATCATATACTCAGAGTCATACTGAATTATAATCTCGAATAATTTTAAGGAGAATATACTAACAAAAAGAAGAGGACCACACGCTAATACCAGCAAAGACAACATGGATAATCGGAATCGGCTAAAAAAACTACAGACATGAGGAAATGCTTTTATCTTTTTCCCGTATAATGGATGAGTTTTAGTAAGGCCACCCCTTAATATCGTCCACGTCATAGTACGCTCTGTCTGACTTGATGTGTCTGGATATTGTCATCGTCCAGCCACTATCTTGAGAACAGATCCCAAGCTCTCAATTTGATTACCGTAAAATCTTAATGTAATAAATAGCTTAAGTATATAACGTATGTATTGATTTTTTTAATAGTTATCATTTACGGGATGTAACCTCGTTCCGTATGAAACCTAAATGCCAAATCTTTTTAAATTTTTTTTGTGACTCATTTCGGGAACCGAACTAGTAGCTATTGGTACAATGATCAGCAACCGTTAGTCTCACGAGTTTTTATTTTTATTTTCAATACAGTACGAAATTAATCCATTCAACAAAAGTGCACACCCTATATATAATGAATGTTGTATACAGGGTGTGCACTTAAACCTTTCAAAAAATATAGTAATGTTTTTTGTAAGGTTTAAATTAAGATATAAAAAAATGTGTAAAGACTGCTGTATAGTATTTATTTTCGTAAGAAATAAAAATCTAGAAAACGATAATAAGTCTTTTATTTATGTTATATGATATGATAGGATGTATGATGTGAAAGTACGTATTGAATGTTTTCCTATCAAAGGAAAGTAGCATAGAAATTATCCCTGTTGGTACTTTGTAGGTCCGAGTTATTACGATATTATTGAAACCGCATCGATCCTTGATAAGCATGCAAATTTGCAAATTAATTAGACGTCTTGGATCCAGTGACAATGTTTAACATACAAATATATATGCCGAGCTTTTACTGGTGGTAGGACCTCTTGTGAGTCCGCACGGGTAGGTACCATCACCCCACCTATTTCTGCCGTGAAGCAATATGTTTCGGTTTGAAGGGCGGGGCAGCCGTTGTAACTATACTGAGACCTTAGAACGTATATCTCAAGGTGGGTGTTGGCATTTACGTTGAAGATGTCTATGGTCTCCGGTAACCACATAAAACCAGGTGGGCTGTGAGCTTGTCCACCAATGTAAACAATAAAAAAAAACACGTGTGGCACTCGGAGACTGCCGCGGTAAAACTATTGCATAACATTTTTTATCAACTTATGCAATTATAAATCGACAATAATAATTTAATATTAAAACAACAATAAAATAAGACCACACTATATTTATAAACATTAACAAAAGCAAAACATTAACCGTCCCCTTTACACTCATAACCTAGACCGCGCAAGGGAGAGATGGGCAGACTTTTCATGATGTGCATGCGGCAGTGCGACGTCACGCCGCGCGCTTATTCACAAACACTACACAAGCGCAACGTGTGAATGTGTTGAACGCGAGCTACATAGTAGGCGTAGTGAGGGTGTCCGGTTATTTTCGTTACGGAATTTCTTGATTCAATCGCCGCGCTCAAAACCCGCGATAAAATCTATGCAATAGCTTAAAAAACGTGCTACCAATCAATTACGTCGTTTTAATGTTATTATTGTTACGCCTCTCTTCGTTTTAGTAATCAGGGATTTGTTTGTTTAAAACGTGTAGTGGTGCGAGTCACTGTAACATTTTTAAATAGTTCAAAATATTTCTTATCATTTTTATAGTCTATTTTCTTTCTGTAATTTTCAGTTATTTTGTTGTCAATGTCGTTTTCGGACGAATGTTTGACGTTTACATACACGCTTTGGTATTTAGGTTTCAGCAAATCACTATTAATTCTCTGAGATCGTCTAGTATTTTCGTTACAAAAAGAGAATTCCCTACAAATATTAGCCTTTAAATCCGTTTCTAGATTTATAAGATCCGCATTTACATTAACTTCCAAATCCTTTTTCACATTTAATATAATCGATTCAACCTTTATATGTTTCAAATATTTAAACGCATGTTTCTCTATGTGTTTCCCTATACGTGCAATTGTTTTGTTGATAAAATCCTTCATGATTTTGATATTTTCATTTTTAAGTTTGTTCTTGTCTAAATTGAGATTTTCGAGCTCTTTCGTGAATATAACTCGGATTTTGTTTTCGACTTTCTTACTGAAATCGTTGAGAACTTTACTGACTGTTTCTTTTGTGAATTCATTTTCGGCATTAGCATCTTCGTAATACATGGCCGCATAATTATTGATTGTACTTACTATGGTCAAACTAATAGTGTTGTAAAAATGCATTAAATTTTCATACAATTCCTTAGAACATATTTGAAAGTATCTGCATTCATATGCCTTTTGTTGCTCTCTAAAGACATCTTTCTCTCTAAGGATATCACGTTTTTCGTCTTCATGTTCAATTAACCGACATCTTATGGTATATTTTTTAGTTTTAATGTCATTCGCAATTTTCTCAAAAAACTCCTGAACTTCCTTGAACAAAGTCGATGATTCCACTGGACCATTAATTAATAGTTTAGTAAGAAAGTATTGTAGCTTCTGCCATCCTTTTACGGTTAAATTATGAGCTCTGAAAAAGGACTTTAGTTCGTTTTTTTCAATTCCAAATACTTTCTGCGCTGTATCCATACTTTTCCATCGGCACTGACTTCCTACGACATTAGCAATTAATTCGTCCAAAGCTTTAACTATTAAAGTTTTGGTTTCACGTGACACTGGTTCTTTATCTAAAGCTTTATTAATTTTTTTCTTTAATTTGTTAGGAGATGGCGGTCTAGTTACTTCTTTAGTTTTGCCTTTTCTTTCAATATGTGATGACTCAAGAATTTCCGTGTCGCCCAGCTCATACTTTTCGAGGCTAAATTTGTAATCTTCGTCTTCCAAAAAAGGTTTCAATTCGGATATTTTATTTACAATTGCCTCTTCAATTGATATTTTATTGCTATTCCGAAACACCGGCTTCTCTTTGGTTTTGAGGAGCGAATGTATGTTCGAATTGACGGAATGTTCCAGAAATTTAGAAACGTATGAGGCATTCTCTTGTGCATTCAAACATTGAACGAAGTAGAGCTCTAGTATTACGATGCCAACAACTGTAAACACGGCTTAATTAGATATTAAATCGTATTAAATATTAATTAATGTGAATGCGCTAGTGAAACTCATTAGTTATGATGCGTAACCACATTTACTTCTGGTGAAATTGTAGACGGTCTTGTTTTAGTCTATCAATCTACTCGGAAACTCGAATTGACATGTCGTAGAACCAAAATTTAAGGTTTTTATTTTATAAGCATTTTTTTCATTTTCCTAAACCTATCTTAACAGTATCTGAAGTTGGCCGATACATTGCAAACCCAGTGCACGCCCAGCACTCAATCCGTGGACCCTGTTCATGTAGAATTAGTAGACAGTGAGGTAGAACGCAGAGCCTCCTTGCCACCCTCTGATGCGTTACCACCCGTCACCCCGATGGAAGTTAAAGACTTGATCAAAGACCTACGTCCTCGCAAGGCTCCCGGTTCCGACGGTATATCCAACCGCGTTATTAAACTTCTACCCGTCCAACTCATCGTGATGTTGGCATCTATTTTCAATGCCGCTATGGCGAACTGTATCTTTCCCGCGGTGTGGAAAGAAGCGGACGTTATCGGCATACATAAACCCGGTAAACCAAAAAATCATCCGACGAGCTACCGCCCGATTAGCCTCCTCATGTCTCTAGGCAAACTGTATGAGCGTCTGCTCTACAAACGCCTCAGAGACTTCGTCTCATCCAAGGGCATTCTTATCGATGAACAATTCGGATTCCGTACAAAT